GGATATGAATCCCCAACCATTATCCTCTATTTAGAACCCTTGACGGGCGATCTAGTTACCACAAGATTTATGGATTGTCACTTTGATGAGACAGTCTTCCTGTCGTTAGGGGGAGATAGGAAAAAAGATTTTCCAAGGGAACGACAGGAATTGTCATGGAATGTTCCCACTCTGTCTCATTTTGAACCTCGCACTTCACAATGTGAAAGTCAAGTGAAACGAATACTAAATTTTCAAATGAATCAAACTCAATACCTTATACGTTTAATGTTATTAAGGAGTGATAAAATCACATATACCAGCTGCAAATATTCCCGCAAGGTTAAAAGTCCCAAAACAAGGGCACAACACTCAGGAAAGTGCGTTGTAATCACATGGTGGAGGTGTGGTTGAGGCCGTGGCTCACAAAAGAAAATGGGGGAAGCTACTTGGTTCGGTAGATACTCATCTAAAGGAAAAGAAGGCACAACCATTTATCATCAATACAATAAACCTCTCATAAGATTGTCTCTGATTAAAACTATGTCTATGAATCATTACTATGCTCCAAAGTTAATATTGATTCCAGAGATCAAAGAAATATCAAATGAATTATGAGAGTGCATATGAGTCGATGGACAAATCATACATACTCATTGATGATATATCATACTGTTGCTCATAAGATGATAGAGCACGATAACATCGAACCATGCTCAGTTGAAAAATGTCAACGAAGAGAAAATATGGCCTAAATGAAAAGAAACAATCCAGGAAAATTATACTTGACAAATGAACGAGTATTTGGTCAGGTAGTGCTAACCCACTAAGTATAAAAGCCTATAGGACATAGATAAATCATTTGTCAAAAAGCGTAATGAAAGTAATTAAGTCATAATGTATAAAGATCTCCTTTGGCAGAAGATTTCTCAGACCATCATGGATTGACCACGAGAAGACTTACTCTCCCATGATGGATGTTACAACATTATGCCAATTAATTAGCCTAGTTTAGAAAAAAAAAAGAGAAATGGAGATTCTAATGTTGGGAGATGCCATGTAAGCACTATTAGATTTTTCTTTTATATATATATATATATATATATATATATATATATATATATGGGCACGTTTAAATGAAAACCGTGCATTTCTAAGAAACCGTGTAAACCAATTTCAACCAATATAATATTAAAAATTTGAATTTCATATATTGTAATCTTTAAGAATCAGCAAACGGGTCTTGATGAAACAATTGAAGTGTATAATGAAATCATCAAATCGTAGATGAACAAAAAAATTACAGAAATGAAACATGTTTATGAACGTGAAACTGGTTCATGTTGGAAATAAATTATGTAAACCGAAACATTTTCATGGTGAACCCATTGCATTGATTGTGTAGTTGATCTATTTAGTTGGTGAAGAGGAAAATRAAACCGGTGCATTTTGTATTTGGTGCGTCATGAACTAAGTGCATGATGAAACGAGGAAATGATTTTAATCTGCTACAGAATCTTGAAGATTGTAACCTGCTCTAGAATCTTGAAGATTGTAAGGTTTAAAAGAATGAATCCATCAAATCAGTGGTGAAATAAGAATTACTATACATGAAATAGGTTTCATGAAAGTGAAACTGGTTCATGGCGTTATTGAGCATGACTAGTGAAACGGTTGCATAATGTATTTGGTTCGTCATGAAATAATTGAATGATGAAACGGGTACATGAAAAAACTGCTCCGGAATCTTGAAGATTGTAATATGCTTTAGAATCTTTAAGATTCCAAGGCTTAAATGAATTAATGAATCAAACCAGGAATGAAAGAAAGAAAATAATTTTGCATTAAAAAAGATTCATGAAAGTAAACTAATCTTAGAAGAAAATAATTTTGCATGAAAAAAGATTCATGAAAGATCGAGTAGGATGTTATCAAATATTAAATTTTGTTTACCATTTATGCCCTTATTCTTGAAATAATTTTTTTTTTTTTTAATTTCTTAAAATAAAGTAAACTAATCTTGGCCATTGATCAAGAAAATGGATGGATGAGATTGGTTAACACGGTTTACACAAATGTGGTCGGTTTTAATTTGAACGCTCCTATATATATATATATATACTAGAAGGGTACTCGTGCAATGCATCGAGACACATTTACATTTCAATGTTCCGTTTTATTTTTTATCCATGTCGATATAATACAATTTTATATGGTTTTGAGAAAGCGATAATGTTTTTATTTTTGAATAAAATATAAATTTGAAAATATCATATAAAATTTGCAAAAAATATATCAATATTAGTATCAAATTATCTAATTAAAAGTTCTTGTTTGTTTATTTTTTTATTATAATTTAATTTCACGTAACGAATTAACTTAATTTAGGTTTAATAATATTTTTTTTAAAGATAGTAATTAAGTATTCTGTTAGAACTCAATAATTATCCTAATTACATTTTAGCTTTTTTATATTTTAAAATGAGATGTTTATCCAACTTTAATAAGTTGTACTTACGCACAATTTACTTGTAATCTTGAATTTTAAGTAATATGTATTAATAAATAGTATTTTATGCATAAAAATGTTTTTAAAAGTTTTTTTAATTCAAATTTTTTTATTATAACTTAATTTAACGTAACGAATTAACTTAATTTAAGTTTAATAATATTTTTTTAAAGATAATAATTAAGTATTTTGTTAGAACTCAATAATTATCTTAATTATATTTTAGATTTTTATATTTTAAAATGAGATGTTTATCCTTTATTTGATTATGTTTATCTGCAATTAGTTACACGAATTCAAACATAGAGCTTTAATACGTTGTACTTATGCACAATTTACTTGTAATCTTGAATTTTAAGTAATATGCATTAATAAACAATACTTTATGCATAAAAAATGTTTTTAAGAGTTTTTATCAAATGCTTTATAATATAGTATAGATATAAAACTCGACGTGATATAAAATAAAAGTTTGTTATAAATGGAGAATGAAAAACTTGCACAATTTCTTATTTGAAAGGAAATTATCAAATTTATAGAGCATGGTAACATAGATCAATGTTTATAAATTATTTCAACGTGTCTAATAATTCGTTTTATAATTTTAAATATGGAGCTTTAAAAAATTGTATGTAATTACATCATAGTGAAGTTGCAAACTTACATTTTAACAGATTACGAATAAATAAACTGTATCTAATGCTTAACAAATTATTTTTAAAAAATTTATCAAGCTTTATTTCAAGTAATAAATACAAAAAGAAATATCATGTAAACTACATTTTTCGTTCCATTTGGTTTGTTAAAATGTGTGACTTTTATTCTTATGTTTTTCAAATTAACCTCTTTGGTAGGAGTGTCTAAAAATCTGACCAATCGGATTAATTTAACGTGAAATAATTCAACTCTCAGCAATCCGATGTCTAATAGAATGTAAAATCTTCAAAAAGGTGGGGTTGATATCGAGTTACCTTTATTTGAACCCAACCCAAATTGATGAACCCAATATTGTTTTTTGATTTTTGGATTTAGTATGATTACTGAGTCTCTATTAATATATACATTAGACAATCACATCATCACGAACCCTTTTCATATACATATATTTTCAATTTATTCTCCATAACTCCTTTGTATACATGTTCAATAACTGCTCACACACACATACACACACACACACACACACATATATATGTATGTATGTATGTATAGCCATAGGTTCATTTGAAAAATGATAAGTATTTGAAAAGTATATAAGTGATTCTAATCTTTCATCTGGTCAAGATTTATGACTTTGACTGTGAAACACTAGATAATTGCTCATATGATATGCGGAAGATAGAAGGGTAATTTCATAAGTTTTAGCGGGAAAACAAGTACATATGTGAACAATGCGATTCACATATTAACTATTTAACTTATTCACATATGAACTAATTAACTGACTTGCATATGAACCTGTGTGATTTACATATGAACTGATTAACTGATTCTCATATGAATTAATTAAGTAATTCATATATGAACTGTGGGCTCACATATGCATTTATGGGTTCACATATGCACTTGCTTATCGCTATTTGTATATGAGTTCAAATATGTACTTGTTTGCTGCTATTTGTAGAAATTATGAAATTACCCTTTTATATTTCGTTTGACCAGTTAAAATCGTAAATCTTGACCAATCAGAAGGTGTAATTTTGAACTAGTCAAAACCACAATTCTTGATCAATCTTGCCCATATGAAGGGCTAAGACCACTTTTTTACTTCTCAAATACTTACCACTTCCCAAATGAACATCTATCTCTCTCTCTCTCTCTCTCTCTCTATATATATATATATATATATAAATTTGAAAAAATTAATTGAATGTGATATACTTAATATTTAAAAAGTATGATTAAGTTGTACCAAATGTTTGATGATGAAAAAGAATTATGAGTAAATTAGAAAAAAACAACATAATCAATGTAAAGAGAACATTTTGATGTACCAAAGTATCAACCTGACCAATTCGTACGGTTCATGTTGAGTTGGATTAAGATTCTTTTGACCACAAGTATTGAGTTGGATTGTTCAAATGTCTTTAATTCGATCAATTCAAGCCATGAACACCCCTAGTCTTTGGTCTCCATGGTTAGCAATTCTTAGCTTGAATTACGGTTTTTCGTCTCTAAAACAAAGTCCGTCAATGATTTACCGTTAAGTATAAGAGACTGAAACAATAATAAATATAAACTACAATAACAACAATGAGTTACAAACTACAAGACAAAAAACAATAATATATCATCAACTACAGGGACAAAAACCTTAATTTCAAAAACACAATAACAAAAATACAAAAGTTTCAACAAACCAAGGACCAAAAATGTAATTTACTTAACAACAAAAAAGTAAAATTAAAGGAGAAAACAAACGTGAGTGGCACGTGCAAAAATACCAAAACCAATCAAGAGAGAAAGAGATAACTTGCTACGGTGATGACTCTTTGTCTGTGGCATAGCTCACTCACTCCCCTCCCCCTCTTCGTCCGCTTTCAAGCTTCTCTCCTCTGTAATCCCGTTACCCCTTTTGCAGTCTCTCTCAAAGCCATCGGAAATTTGGGATTTTGAATGGTGGAAAAAGTTATCCGATGGGAGCTCAGAAGAGCGTCCATGCTGGCAAAGGTCTCTCTTGTTTTTTCCTTTTTCTCAATTGGATGTGCCTTTCCCTTCCTAATTTGCAGAAAAAGTGATTTAATCAGCACATATTGCCAGTAGAACCCTAGAAAATGTGCATCTTTTTATCACTCTTTGCATGCTGATTCGACGTTGAATGTGTGTGTTCTCTGTCTATTATGACCTTATGCTTTGTTTATTTGTTGCTATTTCATACAGCCAAGATAGACTTCAATGTTGATTTCACGCACAGACTATGTGCTGCTATGATGGTTCATTCTTTCAGGTTCTGGTTCTACTTTCCCTTTTTGATTAATTTTTTTTGAAATATATACCGCAAATGCAACAAATAAACTCACACACCCTACCCACCTATGGTGAGGTTTGAAACCCTGACCTCCTATCCCTTTTTGATTAATTGATGATTACACTGTGGGATTACCACTTCCTGTAATGCTATTACGCCTATTCTTGTCTGGCTGCCTGGATAAACGAGTAATTTTCCAACTCAAAGCTGATCAGCAACGAACAGAATTACCCATGTTAAAGAATTAATTCATATTTACCAGATGTCACACTAATGATCTTGCTAATATGCTCTCCTCCATGAGTTCCCATCTGCCTAACTTTTCCATTGAGGCATAAAAAGAATGATGGTATGAGTGTATGCCTACTGCACTCTGCAGCCTCTGCTTCAAAACCAATTGAATCTTGTTATTATAAATTCGAGTTGTCCTTTTAATATTTATTTGATTGGTCACCATATTGTTCTTGTTTGTTTTTTTGTTATTAAGCAGAAATTCAGACAGGGGCAGTCCGCTTTCACTGATTGTTGGGAGGTATGATGAGTGTTGTAGATGTTTTATTATCATTTCAGTTGTACCTATTTATTCGTAAACGAACTTGTGTCTTGCTGATAGCAACATGGCAACACACTTCATATTTACTAAAGATAAATAAATGTAAACAAGAATAGAAGACATTTCAAGTCTTTGGACAAAAAGTTGCATGCATTTTGTAATATATCTTTCCACAATCTCACCCTTTCTAATTTTGTAAATTTAGTCAATACATGCTATTTAAAACATTCCATCAGTTTCACAATTAGAGTCCCCTTTTTGTAATAGCACACTTACAATTTTCTTTATCTGCTTATATTTTTAGGGGACTATTCTTTGTGCAAACATAATTCTTTGTTTCATGTCAATCCAGGTTGCAACTTATGTATTTATTTCTTTTTGCAGTCTTTGCATAAAACACCCCAACTTATTTGGAAAGAGTGAGAAGCTTGATGTATTGTGGGATAAAGGGCTTTCAGATTCCAATATATTGATTGCCTATAGGAAGCCTAGGCCAGAATGGCTTGCTCAACATTCGTTTGTCATTCAGGTTTGTTATTATCTAAGATTGCTTTATGGACCAACAAGAGTGGTCAACACTTTATTCGAACTATGTGATCTTCTCGATTGTCTTTATAAGGACTTGTCTGGATCATGGTTGTTTTTTGTTGTAGGGTTATGTTTTAGATTTAAATTTGTGTCGTTTAACTTTACCCTCTTTTCAATTGGTTAGCAATTGCTGAATAAGACGTTGTTTAAGCTTCTCTTTTGATTCAAGGAGGTTCTTTGATCTAGCTATCAAAGTGTATAATGGGATCTTGAAGCGTTCTCATCAAGGATGTTGGGATGACTCCAAGTTTCCTTCTTTTCCTAATCTTGAAGCATTCCATTTTCCAACTAGAGTAGTCTTGCATGCTCCAATTGGCTATTTGCTGTTGCAAGATTAAGCCCATATCATTTGCCCCTTATTTCTTTGTTTTTTTTATGAATGGAGTTTCTCCGTTGTATGTTTCCGGAGATGAGGTTCAAGTAGTCTCGTCTATGGATGTTCGTCCTATATGCTATGTTTTTGAACGTGGTTGGGTCACATTGTAGTGATAAATGATCATGGCTTAAGTAATGTGTTTGCCCCTAAATGGGTTTGTGAGGTCATATACATGACTGATTGGATAGACTAGAAGGAAGAGCTTGTTCTTTTGTCTCGGTATTGTATGAGTGAGGTGTATAGGATGACTACTCATGGGTGGACTGATTTGGGTTATTGTGGCTTCAATGATTTTGTTGCCTTCTTGCTAGGTTGATGAGTCTGATGAGAGTCAATCGCTTAAAACTTACTCTCAACGCAAGAAGATGATTTAGGAGAAGGGATGTTATGTCTTTTTCAGTAAAATGTAGTTTCTAGAATGTCAGTATCGTCATCCATTGTTTTAAAAAAACAGTTGAGGCGCGCCTTGAAACGAGGCGGCCAAAACCGTATATGAGGCGCCGCCTCTCCCTACTTCAATGGGTCTTATGCCTTTTGTGGGTGGGGCACTGTGTGAGTCAGTGTGGCATTGAGGCAACACAGAGGTGGTATGACTGATTGCCTGGGGCTTGTGGGTGGATCTTATATTTAAATTGCAAGTGTATCTTATCATTATTTAAATAGACAGTGGGGCATGCTATCATTATTTAAAGGTGTTGAAGTATTGTAGTCGTATGAACACCTCACCAAAGGGTTTGGAAGTTTGATTAAATGGATGGGATTGCCATTGTTTGAAGCAACTTGGGAAGACTATGATATGTTGAAGTTCCAGTTTCCCTCTTTTCACATTGAGGACAAGGTGCAACTTTGGCATGCGAGTATTGATGAGAGTCAACCGCTTAAGACTTACTCTCGACGCAAGAAGATGACCTAGGAGAAGGGTTGTTATGTCTTTTTCAGTAAAAAGAAGTTTCTAGAATGTCAGTAGTGTCAGCTATAGTATAAATAAAGTTGTGAGTTGGTAGTGGAGATATGTGATAATGGAGAAGAAGTGGCTATGTAATTTGTGATAGTGGAGAAGTAATCACTTGACTTGGAGAAAGAATCACTTATTTTTCAGCGCATTATTGTTCAAATTTGATTCAATTGCAACGAATTGGATCAGAGTCTTTAATCTATATGACTTACTAGGGTAGGTTGTCGAATCCAACTTTTGACCTTGATGATGCCTTCAATTATGTTACTGACTTGCATGATCTCATAGCTTTGTGGCCAAGTTGGGGTTGGAGCTTTATTTTGATGAGTGCTTGTCTATGCTTTTGATGGATGAGATAAGGCCAGTCTTATGTTCAGGTCAACTGTCTTTGTCATGCTACCATCTGTCTTCTTGCATGCTAGGGTTGCTTTTCCAATGATAAGGTAGGTCGGCAAGATGCTAAGGTCAACCAAATGTTGAGGTTGGTCTTTTCGCATATGAGTTGGGTTGCCTATCAGGAGGTTGATTAAATTTTGACGTTAGATAGCAGCTAACATTAACTTGGTTTGTGATAAGGTCGAGCCTGCCTTTTCACCGATGAGCCTAATGTCAAGGTTAGTTCAACCTTTGCATGGATAGCCGAGGTCAGGTAGATGCTAATGCCACCACTCTAAGGTAGGCCTTGTTTTGTATGGTTCGGCTGGTGTATTCACACAAATGAATGATACTACCTCAACACCTTCCCAAATCGATTAAGTAAAATAGAGGTTTTGAGTGTTTAACACCTTCTAAGACGGGGTATGTGTAGGACTTTTCACTTCGTTCTACATAATTTGTTGACTTGATGATCAAGTTGGCGGTAGAGGAGTGATGAGGCTTAGCGCTCATTCCGGGAAGACTTGAGTCTAAGGAGTTTTGATGATTAGAGTCTTTCACGTGACTATTCTATGTGGGTCATGTTGGTCTTATGTTTCTCATCGATGATGTCCTCTACTTTGTTATCCCTTATCTCTAAGACCACAGGGAAGACTTGGGTCTAAACAGTTGCATACTGCTGTTATATTTCAGACCATTCTGCTTTATTTGAATGTTAAAAGTCAGAAGTGAAAATTGAAGCAAAAAAACCGTGACCACTTAAAAAAGAGCAATAGTGTTTTCAATTATTCTGATCAATTTTTAATGCTCTAAATAGCTCCTCTTCATTCTCAATGTTATAACAAATAATGGAGACGATCAAAAAGTTGAAAACATATAAGTGAAAACATTTAATTAAAATAGCTTTCAGAAATCTTTTTTCTTCTCTTGATTGGGATACATGCACAATTCATCTAGTTATCATCTTATATTAATTTACTTTGTTGACCAGCATTCTGTCTCGCCTGAGATTGGCATACATGGTGTGCCTGTTGACAACTTCTCCCGTACAGGAAGCGGTGGTGTCAACCTATGCCGCTTCTCTGCCGGCCTAGATCTAGATGAGCCCGGAAGTTCCAACTGGAGCAGCAAAACGAGTATAAAGTTTGAGGTAAAGTGAGCATATCGAGTATACTATGCCCTTTTGTTTTTCATACTTATTTTTCTTGTTCTATGTTCATCATTTGCTACTCTTTGTTCCTTCTACCTGTTTGCTCACACTCTTGCATAAGCCGGGGTCTTCGCATAAGCAATGCTCTACTCTTTGGGGTAGAGGTCGGGTACATCTCATCCCCTACGAGTAGGATTTATTGGCTTGGGCTGGTTTGGTTTTTACGGGTGTACTAAACCCTAAAGGTCAAAAGGATTAATAATCTTTAACTTTGAATTAATAGCTAAAGTTGATGTCAATTCTAGAATGAAATTGTTGTTGCATTTCTTACAAATAGATCTCAAATTTGTAATTGGAAATTAATTTGTTTGACCTCAGAAAGTTTGTCTTCCTATTCCTTTTTGAGCATGGAAAAATGTTTCAACTTAGTCATGTTGGTATGCAGCATGTCCGTCCAGTCAATGACGATGGCCACTCAATAACTAGAGATATTCATGGATTTACAGTGACTTCCAGGTATTTACGGCTTTTCTTAATGTGCTTTGACAAGTTTGCACACTGGCAGATGTCTCAAGATTCTTTTTGATGCAGCGGTAGTTGTCATGATAGTATGGTAGTACTGAAACAGGAGTCCAGATTCGCAAAGGCAAATGATCATAGTTTCACACGGGTTATTATCTTTCCTTATTATGTTGATATTAGTTACTCCCTCCATCCCGAAATAAGTGCCACATTTCTACTTTAGTTTATCCCAATATAAGTGTCCACATTTCTAGTTTAGTTTGTCCAAAAATAAATGTCTACTTTCAAAGTAAGTGCCTACTTTCTAATTCTAACCTTAATTATGAGACTAGAGGAAATTCATACTCTGTCTATTATTAAAGGTAAAATTGTCATTTATGTAATTAAAAAGTGTAATAGTTACACATTCCCAAAATTATGTGCCTTTTTCACTGTGGACATTTATTTTGGGGCAGAGGTGTATTTGTTATCTGAATCTATTGCTTGATTTTTATCAACGATAGTATGCCATTAATAATTTTTTTAAACTGTCGTATATTCAGTTTAGTCTACAAATAGAACAAGGGATTCCTCTTATGTCAAAGTGGTTAATCTTCAATCGGTTCAAGTTTGCCGCATCAAAGGGAGTTAGAGCAGGTCCTGGATTTCTCTTGGCTAGGTGAGGATTTTTCTTTGAGTGAAGGAAACTTACCAAATTGAGAACATGATACTAGAATTTAGGGCTGCAGGTGGATTGGGTTTGCTGGGTTGAAGGCATTTGAACAACCCAACCCAATGTTTGTGGTTTGAAAAATCTCAACCCAACCCAATCAAGCAAAACTACAACCCAACCCAACCTAAACCATGCGGGGCGGGTTGGGTTGGGTTGGGTTGGCCTGGTCGAAACTTTGGTACATCATTTACAATCTTGGTAAGCATTGGTGTTTAAACAAAGTAAAATTAAAATGAAAACATACAAAAAGGGCTAACAAACTCAAAGAAGTGGAAAATTCATGTAAATAAGAAAGTAAAATTACAGTTGAAATTGTAATATAGCTAATTATGAGTTGGTCTAAATGCATAATGTACATATATTAATTATGGACTCAACAATCATATTGAATCCCTTGTATAGAAAGGCATTAGGTTCAGTGGGTTGGTTTAGGTTCAAATTATCCCAACCCAATTCCAACCAAATAGATGCGGTTTGACCTAATTTTGTATGAACTATGTGTTGGGTTACCTCGGGTTGAGGTTTTTTGGGTTTTTCCAGGTTGGGTTTGCCGGGTTGGTCGGTTTTTTGAGCACCCCTACTAGAATTAGAGATGGTAATTTGAAAATATATAAAATGCTTTGCAAGATTACCAAATCCTTATAGGAGCTTAATTCAGAAAACTTCTATGTTCTCTTTGGTTTCTTTTCTTTTCATTTATATTCTTCAGTACTTTTTAGGGGTGTTCATCAACACCATTGAACTGCCTACACTGCATGGTTTAGAACTTTTGGGGTGCGGTTTGCATTTTTATCAATTGGCACTTTGCAGTGTGGTTTGTGGGTTTGATTTATTTGAAATCACCCTTTCAAACCGCACCTCATATATATACTATATGGCTTTAATCTTTAATTGAATTAATACATTTATTCATTATATATATGACTGTAATTTGTAGTTATTAAATCAATTTTTTTAATATGTATACATTATGTATTACTTTTTATTTTACCCTTCATATTTTAGTCTTTTGAGTTTTGACATTCCCACAATTTGTTTTATTCATTATTATGTCTTGGATTTGAACTTATTTAGTTTGTTTTGGACTGCTTTTTATTATGTATTTTCCTATTTGGGAGGTATTGGAACTTTTTATTGTATGGACAGTCAAAATTTATTTTGAACTTATAATTTTATAGTTATTGAGATTGAAATGCGTTAGGTGTAAACTGTGGTTTTTTGCGGTTTGAGGCATATGTGGTGCGGTTTGTGGTTTTCACCCTAAAGCGCACCGTGAACACCAGAGTAGTTCTTTTCTTGTTTTGTTAATTGCAGTTTCACACTTCATAACTTAAAGTGCTGTTTATCTCTCTCAAACTGTTTCTATGTGACAGCATTACAGGTGGTTCGATAGTAGGTGATATAGCTCCTTACCAAGCATTTGCAATCGGGGGACTTGGTAGTGTTCGAGGATATGGGGAGGGTGCCGTTGGATCTGGTAGATCTTGTCTGGTTGCTAACACTGAGCTGACATTCCCGATGGTATTTACCTATTACTTTTTCTCATATGAATATATGATATAAATAAGTTATGGTATTTTGTTTTCCTTTGTTTGTACCCCAAGCTTATCCTTAAATTTCATAATGTTTTCGCCCCAATATAATGCATGGTAATTGTTCCATTGTACTTCTTCACTCATGTCTATTAGTCCCCATGTTTTAGAAGTAGATAATACTTATATACAACAGATGAACTCACACACCCTCCTGACCTTTGACCCCCCGATATTTTCCAATTTGTTTTATAAACCTTAAAAGTAAATAGGATCAAACACTTGCCAAAAAGAGTAAATGTTTCACAAAAAGAGATGCAACATTTACTTTTTTGGCAAGTCCTTGATCCTATTTACTTCTTTTTGCATGTTAATCATTTCTTGAAATTCTCCGTTTTGCACACTTTTCACTAGCCGAGGTCTTTACGGGATCAATTGCCTCTACCCTTCTAGGGTAGAGGCCAGGTCTGTGTACATTCCCCCTTCCCCACCCCTTAGACCCTGCCTCCGGGTGGGATATACCGGGCTTGGTTTGGTAATGAAATCATTACTTGAAGTTAGTACCTTTGATTGTGGTCCACAAGTTTTTTTAAGGGGCATTTTAGACATCTTATCAATAAACATTTTCTTTATTATGTGTCAATGAGAGTATTTTCATAGTAAATGTTTTCGCATATCATTTAAGTCAATCAAAATGTTACTTATCGTGTAGCCACTAGCCGTAGCATGGTTGGAGTTGGACAATGATTAAAATTGGTACCATGGTAAAATCACAAGCCAAAGTAAATTACATTTATGATATTCTTGTCTACTAGTAAACTCACGGAGAATTAGTTTTGGACCCATTGCACCTTTGAAAAACACGAGCCTTCCCAAATGATTGGGACACTCGGTGAGTGTCAGCGTATTTATTCATTTGATGGTTCCTTGTCTTCTATTCCAGTACCCAAGTAAGACGAGTTTATAGGATATGTATACCCAATTGGATTGCCATTCTTTAGTATCTGGTCTATATCCCATTCCGAAGTTGAGTGAATTTAGGGTAAATCAGCCAGAGAACAACTTTGTTGTGTGTTCTCAATTAAATCTTATACATAATGAATGAATCCTTCCCTCCCTGATTCGTGCTATTTTATGCTAACAGAATACAGATCTCTACCACTAGGATAAAGCCATCCTGTCCTATACAAAAACAATTGAACTATTTATTTCGTCCTACTAAAACATTGTCGTATCATTGCCATCCTCTTCAGACAATCCTTGACCTCAAGGATTATAATTTGCCCATATGTCAATGGAAGGAACCTGCTCTGTAGATTATGAAATTCCTCCCATGTACTGTCGTCAATCTTCAAATTAGACTACTGGACAAGCACCTCGGAAGTAGCTTTATTGTTTATGTGGACCATCCTTTTATTCCAAATCTTTTTGTCCAAAATCTTTAAAGGGACATGGTTAAATTCCCCACTTTCTGTCACCTGAGGTGAGGTAATGTTACTGCTGCCGTGTGGGTCCCCAGTTTCTTTTTTAGTAGGGATACATGGAAGACATTGTGTACTTCAGAAGTGGGAGGCAATTCCAGTTTGTAGGCTATTTCTCGTATTTTTTCTGAGACTCTAAACGGTCCATAATACCTCGCAGACAACTTATGAAAGGCCCTCCTGTTGACGAATGTTGTCTGTAAGGTTGAAGTTTCAGGTAGACCCAACCTCCAACCATAAATTTCCTTTCACTTCTGTGTTTATCAGCTTGTACCTTCATCCTCTGTTGAGCTCTCTTCAAATTATCCCTCGAGAGTCTTACCATTGTTTCTTTTTCTCTGAGTAAAGCATCGAGAACTTGGTTAGGGGAGTCCTTTAATGGTAGTGAATGTAGTTAGGAGGTGGTTGGCCCAAATAGTTCTTAGTGGAATGATGTATTGTACCAATATTGGGCCATAGGTAACCATTTAAACCATGAGGGTGAATCCAAAGTGAAGCACTGTAGAATGTTTCCAAGCACCTGTTGAGAACTTTTGTCTGGCCGTCTGACTGCGGGTGGTATGCAGTGGAAAAAGCAAGGGTTGTACCATGCGCCCTAAAAAGTTACTTCCAGAAGCTACTCAAGAAAAGGGGGTCTCTGTTCGAGATGATTTTCGTGGGCATGCCGTACAATTTAGAAATCTGATCCAGAAAGTTTTGATTAACGATAGCCATGGTGTAAGGATGCTTCAAACCGAAATCAACCACTACCAGGATAGTGGTATTACCCTTGTGATTTCGGTAACCCTTTGATAAAATCCATGGAAACAACTTCCCATAACTTCTTTGGAATTTCCAGCGGCTGCAGTAACCCTCGAAACGTGTCATATTTACTCCGCTGACAGATTTGACATTCCCTTACGAAAATTCCGGATATCTGCTTGTAGACCCTTCCAATACACAGTGCTGATCATTCTCAGATTCGTGCTGTGTACCCCTGAATAACCACCCATAAAACTAGCATGGAGTAACTCTCATAATTCTTGTTCGAGAGCTGAATCATTCCCGACTACCAACCTGCCTTCCCATAGAAGACAACCATCCTCTGTCGAATAATTTGGAGTACTAGACGGATTTTCTTTTAATGCATCTATTAACCCTTGTAGTTTACCATCCATAGATACACTTTGCCCAATTCTGTCCCTTCAGCCCGTGAACACACTCGAGATAGCTCGGCAAGTGGTTAAGGGAGCTGCTGAATTTTTCCTGGATGGAGCATCTGCTACAGTATTCTCCGACTCTTTAGGATATTGGATTGTATATTGGAGACCAATCAACTTGCTAAGCCACTTTTCAAGGGTTGGGTTGCATTCCTTCTGTTCCAGCAGGTGTTTAAGAGGTTGGTGGTCGGTTTTGATGATATATAGTCTGCCCAAAGGGTATCCCCTCCATCTTTGAATGGCCGCCACTATAGCTAAGGGTTCTCTCCTAAGTGGTCCTGCTGAAAAAAGCGATGGGGTTCCTTTTTTGGGTGAGTATAGCTCCAATTCCAATCCCAGATGCATCCTTCTCGATGGCAAACGACTCTTCAAAGTTTGCTTGTGCTAAAACCGGTGTATGAGCCATGGCGTTCTTTAGTTCATAGAAGGCTTTGTCAGCTTCCAAACTCCAACCGAGAGCTCCCTTCTTTAATAAATTGATGAGGGGTGTAGCCACTTTTCTGTAATCCTTAATGAATCTTCTATAGTATCCGGTTAAACCAAGGAATCCTCACAATTCCTTAATGTTTTGGGGTGTAGGACAGTTCAGCATATCCTTGATTTTCTTAGGATCAGCCTTTACTCCTTCCACACAGATCACATGCCCAAGATAATCAACTTTGAGTGTGGCAAAGGTCCATTTAGATAGCTTGGCATTAGTGATTGGCTTCGAAGTGTTGCTAGTGTTGCCCAGATGTTTAAGATATTTGGCCCAACTGCTGCTGTAAATGAGTATGTCATCAAAGAAAACTAGAACAAACTTCCCGAGGAGTGGCTTGAAAACAAAGTTCATAATGTTTTGAAATGTGGCCGGGGCATTTGACAATCCAGAGTCATCACCATGAACTCGTACAGTCCCTCATGAGTTCGGAATGCTGTTTTCCGAATATCGCCCTTGTTCATTCTAATTTGATGATATCCGCTTCTTTAATCCAGTTTAGGAAAAAGCGAGCTCCATGTAATTCATCAGTCAGTTCTTCGACAATGGGAGTTGGAAACTGATTTTTATTGTTGATTGGTTTAGCCTTCGATAATCCACTCAGAATCTCCAACTGCCATTTTTTTATTATTAGTTAATACCACGGGTGAAACGAATTCACTATTGCTGGGTTTGATTACACCGCTATCAAACATTTCTTGTACTAGCCCTTCCATGACATCTTTCTGCAGAATCTCGTATAGGTATGCTTTTAAATTCACTGGATTGCTTGCCCCTTAACAACGTGATTGAATGATCGAGATCTCTTTTAGGTGGCAAACACTTGGGGGTATTGAAGACATCATTGAATTCATCGAGTTATTCGAGTAGACCTTCTAATTCTCTTCTTTGTTGGTCTTTCAAAGTTTTCAAACACGAGTCATCGAGTGCAACTGACCAAAATTGGGATAACCTTTGTGGAGAATCAATCGAGTACAATTGATCGACTGAAAATTCAGCTCCATGTTTCCCTTCGTTCAATTCTTCTACTGCCCTCCTGGTTCCCTTCCATTTAAATTGTATGTTCCTGTCTTTTATACGTAATATTTTTATATATTATGTATATAAATACCAATTTTACGTTTAAACAACATATAATGCTAAAATATTATTACCCAAATTTTAATTGTTGCATTAGTATAAGGGTAACATAAAACACGTAGTTCAAACGCAAATATATCAATTACAATACTTAATAATTGAAGTTCATATAATCACGTCGTTATATCAACAAAGTTTCCCACGAACAACCAAATCAATAATGTACATCTTTTACAAGTTTTCATCATGGAAGATTGATTATGTTTGTACATTGTATACACTCATTGGGTTTCTCACTATATTATTATACTTGGTGTATATATATATATATATATACATACATACTGATATATCTGGACGATATGGTCAAGTTTACCAGAGAAGACAATTAAGGCAACAAAGTTAAGAATGGAAGATAATCTCCTAATTTAAGCATTTCGGTTATTTCTTTTATGGGCANATAAATATGGTGCTCCATTGTTTCTTGTACATTCATTCAATCAATTAAGAGAGTCTTTGACTTTTGTGGAGATTACCTGTTCTCGAATTCAGGCATTTCTCGGGTCCTAACCCCAGGGTTGGATTCGGTTCGTATCAATTGGTATCAGAGCGACGATTCTGACACCAATATCGTTATTGGGTACTGTTCACGCTACACTATTCACATTACTGCTCACGACGCTAGTTCGGGTCTGCGAGATGGGTTCAAAACTCAACAACACTGATCGGATCGGCCTTTTTGAGACCGAAG